ATGATGGCCGAAGGTGCAACGCAGGTGTTTGCTGCTATGGCTACCAAGTATGCTATCAGGCTTCTATCTTCAACATCGGCGACCTTTCATGCAGGGGAGAAGAGACGTGCTACGGCAGCAGTGCCTTGTACACGCTGAGCGGCGACATGTACTGCAGCGATCAGGCGGGCGACACAACCCCTGATCCCTCCAACGGACAGACCCCAGATTTTGTTTAAGCAACTTAAACAATGTTGTTACTTCTCATACCTGGGAACTTAGTAGACTATTCTGTAGATGTTGACAGCGCGAGCAACTCAGGACCTGCTATGCTGCCACCTTCAGGTTCACGGAGAAGGGCAACCACTGCGTTGAATGCAAGGGAAAGAACGTTTCTAGTCCGAGTAGAGCTGAAACGTTGAGCAAGCAGAGAGACGTATCACCTTTACGCAAAGGTTTTGGACAAGTAGCGGAGCCAACAGCGCACAAAGCAACATGCATGTGGGTGAGTTGTACCAGTACAGTCCTCGTTGCTCGTGGTTGTGTTGTGACCAACACGACTACTTGTTACTTGCCAGAATTGACAGCTTAGGTTTGCCAGGAAGCGATCCTGGACTTTCCAGTGCCCGAATCCTTCGCAAGTGTGACCTGCGACGGAGAGAATGCCTGCAACAGCTCGCAGTGGCTGCTGAGCTCAGACTCCTGTGTGGAAATCACGTCCTCACCTGGTGCAAAGGCTCCAGCAGGAATATACCCTTACCAAGACAGTTCGAACGTACAGTGCTTCTATACGCCAGGCTTTGCGCCTCTGGAATGCAAGTTATGGGACCCCATGGCAGGAAGCTTTGGAGCTACTTGCACAGTCTCCGATTACTGCCAGGAATTGGATGGTACCAATGGATGTGCATGGCCAGATGACACAGAGCCTCAATGCGGCAAGGCATGCTGCGACATTTACGATGAGAACACGTACCAGACCGGTCAGCCCTTAACTGCCGTCGACTGCTCAGCATGCTGCAGCAGCACCGGCACGACGACAGAGCCAGGTGTACCAACCACCACGAAGAAGAAGCCGTATCATTATGGGAAGTATTCCTACAGCATGTAGCCTGGCCGCGACAGTCTAAAGCCGATCATGAACCCTTGTAATTTTTATCTACTACCTATTTGGGTTTTTTCAAACTAGCGGTACTTCATTCAAGGCTTGTCGCAGTTTAGAGTGCATAGCGGGGGCCCCTCTTTGTTAGACGCAGCCCAAACATTCCGGGTAAGCTGCATCTCCCCAGTAAGAAAATCCAACCTTGCTCCAGTCATCTTGCATCAAGGGGGACGGGTTTAGGGTTTAGGGTTTGGAGTATGTGTGATTGAGACCTGTGCCTGAACCCGCGTGAATTTTTTCAGTGTACACGCCTGAATGATTAGCAATCTTCTCCGGATGTTGAGCTCATGCTATAGTAATATATAGTATATATCTATCTATCTATCTACCTATATATATATATATTCGTTTATAGTAATATATACTAATTAAGGTACAGGAGATTTCTTTTTGTTGGCGCATCCCTAGGCTAGTGCTTGAGATTATGCACCGAACACATGGTTCGGGGTTTGGGCTGCTACTGCTACTTGTATAGTCCCCCTTAAGTAGAGAGAATATGGTTTTGGGTACATTATAATAAGATCCCCCTATACCCCATATTCTATCTACTTAAGAGGAACTATAGTCGTTGCAGTGTGAGTATACATGGGGCTCCTTGTGGCCAGTTGTTGGCAGGAATTTCCAGTCCCTTCAGTCACGGTTGTCATAGCTATCCGAAGTTTCAGCCCAGCTATTCACTGTCCATGAACCTTCAAATAGTATCAGCCCCCTAAGCCCTAAACCCCAAACCCTAAACGGTACAAGCCCTTTCACTCCACTGTCCACTGTCGTGTTCGTTTTCTAGGAGTCAGAGGGCAAAGCGGCGTAGAAATTACAAGCTGTATCAAGTCTGTTCTGCCCCCAGCTGGGTTGCCTTTTAGGAACTTAAATGAAGTTATCCTTTTCAGGAGACCATCTGGTCTCAGGTAGATACATAGAACTTACATGAAGTTATCCCTTCCAGGAGGTCACGTGGTTTGAGGTACATACACAGTTTGGAAACTTAATTTGAAATCCTAAGCAGCAACCCATTCAGGTTCCGCCCGTTCCACACAGCGCCTTTTTCTGCAATTCAAGTTGGCTAGGCTAGGTTTATTCTTTAGTGCTTATGTTTTTGCGCCATTCCGTTGAATTTTTTTCTCAGAGTCCAGGTATGGTTTAGGGTTTGGTGGGTGCGCTCGTTTCCGCCTGGGCTTGTAGCATTTCCGCTTCTGGGTTGAGGGCTCGTGTCGAGAGCTTCAGAATCCAGATTTGTCTGTTGTCATGCAGGATTTACTTCCAATCCTGGCAACTGAAGTTAATTTCCCAACTCCTAGTACGCCCCCTGATAACGCCTATAGTATTCGCCTAGGAGTTTAGCTTCTGGCCCACTAACCTGCGTATACCCCCTGTATTCGGGTTACTGAGGACCATTAAGGGCTGAGGATTTAGGATTAAGGGTTTATGGTTTAGGGCTATATTACCCCTGTAACCCCCTTGAGTTTAGGGGTTAGGTTTCAGGGTTCAGGATCTAGGGGTGCCTTAATTTGGAACACCCTTGAGAGCTCATGATGGTAAGTTCACTTCCTGAACCCTGAATCCTGAAAATTTTTTCTAAATCGCAGCAACCCAGAGTAAGCCTTCAGACCACAACGGAGAGGCAAGCAGTGAGGGATTTTGCTCTATCGTGTTTAGGATTTTGGCTGTAGGGTCTAGGACTAATGAAGGTTTAGGGTATCAATCAGCTATGGTGGATGGAAGCAATTTTGCACTGCTTAGGCTCCCCAAAATGCAGTAATTATTGGGTATTCGACCATTGGGTATAGCAGGGACCTAGGCTCCTCAAAATGCTGTGCTTCCGCGGTATAGTCTATGATTAGTAGGATTCCCTCCAGTCACCGTATGACCAGTGCAAAAACCGCTTGCCATGCGTTCCCTCTACTACCCCCTTATACTCAAGCTTCCCCCTCAATTCAGGTCAAGAAGATCCACCAACACCTGAAGAAGAAGGACAAGAAGCACTGCGCAGGATGGTTCCAAAGATGCAAAGCAAAGATTGCTTAGGGTGTAGGGTAAGGGTTTAGAGTTTAGGGTAGATGTATGTAGGGGCTGAAAAAGTCACATCGGTTTATGGGATATGCTATAAGATCTTGGGTCTAGGCAGAGGAGGTAGAATCCCAATTATACTCAGGTAGTATCCTAGAGTCTCCTGTACACGACCAGTATAGATGACACTAGTGTTTTGTCAGTTACCCACCTAGAGAATAGGGCTTTGAAGGATTTAGAGTGCATGGTTCAGGGTTTTGCTCAAGGTTCAGGATTCAATGTTTAGGGCTTAAGTTCTACGTGTGTTTGCTTGAGTTGCCCATGTCAGATTCAAGATTGATGGCCCAAACTGGATGTAAGACCGGCAACCAAAGAGAATCAGATGATCAGATAACCAGAAGCGTGAGCGTACAAGAAATCCCCAAACCATAGAAGCTTGCCCCGTGTCCTGGGCAGTATGAACGCCTCAAATATCAGTTGTATGAATCTCGCTGTGTTTATTCCCTGCATTGCACCAAGCGTTTACATGTCCAGGTTCGGTTGGCTTGGCAACGCGGTAATGTTGCTGTGCATGGCTGGCCTCTGGTTCAGGGGCCTGAGGCCAGCAGACCGTTTTTTTCTGGAATTGTTTGCCCCTGCGTGTGCAGCAACTGGCCCATGGCCCTTGCACCTGTGGCGCGGAGTCTCTGGAAGACTTGACGTTTTACTTTGAGGCCCTGCATGCCGCTGGCCGTGCAGTTGCGGATGCCTGGTTAATGCCAGACAGACCCAGGGGCAGCGGCACAAACACCTAGCATGATGTGCAGCTGGTGGCCGCGCAGGTGTTGATCCTGCGGAAGGCCCGCCAGCAAGTAGGCTCGTCTGACCCGGCCCAATTGCCCCAGCTTGCTGAAGTAGCCACGCATGTGGCGGCGCGGTCTGAACCTGGTGCGACATCCACCTGAAAGATGCAGAAAGCGGCCGCTGCGAAAGATCGAAAGACCCAGTGGCGACTGCGGTCCCGGTAGGGCTGGACTTTCGCGGGCCCTTTAGGCCTTGCCCCTGCTCCGGATCCCGGCCGATGGCGGCCCTTAACTTTCATAACGAAATGGCTGCGGAGCTCACCAGCTATTCCTTTCGGCGGGTGGCCCTCTTGGGCTTCCATCGACAGTACTAGGGGACTGGGTCTAACGAACGTAAACGCAGCTGCTAGGAACGGTGCACCAATACTACAGTGCCGCTATGGCGCTCAAGTTTGTGTTGCATCCTCGTGGCAGTGGCGCACTTAATACCACTGCTGGGGCCTGGGCTGCCTCCCTCAACAACTTGGACAGGCCTACTACCTTGTGCTTCCTACTACGCCTGTCTCCGCACAAGCTCAACCAGCAGTCCATCTCCACGTTTGCGCAACTTCCTGCGTCTGCCAAGCTGCCGTGCTTTTGACAGTCCCGCCTGTAAAACTCCGTTGCCGGGCGCAGCGTGTGCAGGTGTGCTAGGTGCCAGGCTCAAGCCGTAGCAGTGTAGGCTAACCCTTTTGCTGCATGTAGGTTGTTAGGCCGGCGCAGGACAGCGAACTCGAACCAACTTTAGAACCTGGTCTCTGTCACCCTGCAATTGCTCTAGCCACCAGTGGCTCAAACATGTTGCGTATGCAACATGAATTTGAGCACCCACCCTCCCACAACCTAGGATTGCTGTGTACATATATACGTTTTTGCGCATTCCGAGCTTAAGCATCAGGTGCACGGCGTGAGGTAGTATCACGTCAGGCGGTTGAGTGACGATCCAACCAACCAATTCGTGATGCATCTCTATCCCTTATGTTTTGCATGCTGCGGGCTTGGATCTTCACAAGCGCTCAGTCACCAGCTACGCTTGTTTTGTTCTCCACCAGAAGAGTAAGCCTTGATCACTGTAAGCTTCATTTGATTATGCGAGCCCGTACGCATTTCCTTTGGTGGATAGAATGAGTAAAGCCGTTTCTCTTGTCTTATGTCCCTCGTAAGGGGATGGCCCTCCTTCCCCGAGTTGGACAGCGTGGCGTTCGGCGTTCGTAGTATGTTGTATGGCCTCAACCTACTGTAAATGGTCCAAGCTGATGGCGTCACCCGTGACGGTCCGGGTTATGGGTGGTCTCGCGACAACTGGTTTCATCTGCACTATATGAATTGCCAGTTTCTCCTGTGGCATCTTCCGACGACGGCGAGCATCTGCGAGATATAGTCCGTTGAGAGTGCGGCGGGTGTGTCTGAAGGACGTGCGGTTCCCATCAGATGTTTGCATTGCGACCGTGTCCCAAGGCGTGCAACCCCAAAGCTACTGAAGTTGCAGGAACGGACATCGTGGCCAGTCCTTGCATGAGATGAGATGAAAAAGCTTTAATGCGCATAGCACATGCAACATGTTACAGTGGACTTTCCGAGCATTCATATCACGGCATTACGCGGGTGATAACTGTCACTATTAGCCTTGCCAAGTGTGATTTGTACTCGATTGAACATCATTGCTGATACCATGTTAGACGCGCCTTTTACATTTTTGTGTTGCATTGTTGAGTTGGGCGCTTGAGGTGCAAATTTATGCCGCCGACGACGTGGAAGATCTCACCGACATGCATGGGTTGTGCCTTAGCAAGCAATCTTCATTCGAAACTTACACCACGACTTGGCGGTAGAACCCATCCTTAATACCAATTTTTCCCATACTTTCTCTGCCTGCAGCACGAACAAATTTGGGAACAAACCAGGTCTAGGTTGTCGATATTTCTTGTACATCGTAGAATAAAAGGGAATATCATGATAGGGGTAATACAGGGACAATGGAAAACATGGGAACTAC